TGGATGCCCTCTTTCACTACTTCTATTCATTACAGTCCTTGAAACTTTAGCCAGAGCAATTAGACAGACGAAAGAAATTAAAGGGATACAAATAGGAAAGCAAGACTCAAACTAGCACTATTTGCCAACAACATGATTCTATGTTTAGAAAATCCAAAAATCTTCACCAGAAAACTTGTAGAATAAATGAATTCAACTGAGTAGCAGTTAGATATAAAATCAATACCCATAAATCAAATGCATTTCTATACATCAATGATGAATCAACTGAAAGAGAAATTAGGAGAACTAATTTCATTCATAATAGTCTTTAAAAAAATAAATAAATAGGGGGCTGGGGATGTGGCTCAAGCGGTAGCGCGCTCGCCTGGCATGCGTGCGGCCCGGGTTCGATCCTCAGCACCACATACAAACAAAGATGTTGTGTCCGCTGAGAACTAAAAAATAAAGATTAAAAATTCAAATAAATAAATAAATAAATAAATAAATAAAATACTTGGAAACCAACCTAAGAAAAGAACTGAAATACCTCTACAATGAAAACTGCAGAAGGAAACTGAGGAATGCCTTAAAAGATGGAAAGATCTCTCATACTCTTAGATAGGCAAAATTAATATTATCAAAATGGCCATTCTACCAGATCTGTTATACAGATTTAATGTAATTTCTATTAAAATTCCAATGGCATTCTTCATAGAACTAGAAAAAGCAATCATGAAATTCATTTGGAAAAACAAGAGATCCAAAATAGCCAAAGCAATCCTTAGCAAGAAGAGTGAAGCAGGAGACATCACAATACCAGATCTTGAACTATACTACAGAGCAATTGTAACAAAAACAGCATGGTATTGGTACCAAAATACACAAGTAGACCAAAGGTAGAGGACACAGAGACAAACCCACATAAATGTGGTTATCTCATATTAAATAAGGCACCAAAAAACATACATTGGAGAAAAGATAGCCTACTTAACAGACGATGCTGGGAAAACTAGAAATCCATATGTAACAAAATAAAATTAAATCTATCTTTTGGGCTGGGGTTGTGGCTCAGCACTCACCTCATACCTGTGAGACCTGGGGTTCAATCCTCAGCACCACATAAAAACAAATAAGTGAAATTAAAAAAATAAATTGTGTCCAACTAAAAAATAAATATTTTTTTAAAAAAATCTATCTCTCTCACCCTGCACAAAAAAATCAACTCCAAGTGGATCAAAGACTTAGGCACTAGAACCTGTGCTTAATAGAAGAAAAAGTGGGACCAAATCTTTACCATGTCGGCTAGGAACTGACTTCCTTAACCAGACTCCTAAAGCACGAGAAGTAAAATCAAGAATCAATAAAGGGGTGGACTCAAACTAAAAAGCAAAGGAAACAATCAATAATTTTTAAAGAGAGAGCCTACAGAATGGGAGAAAATCTTTACCACACACACCTCAAAGCACTAATTTCTCAAAAAACATCAAATAATCACCAAAAAACCCCCAAATAAAACAACCAATAAATGTGCTAAGGAACTGGACACTTCACAAAAGAAAAAAAAAGTTGATCTACAAACATGAAAAAATATTCACCATCCCTAGCGATTAGAGAAATGCAAATCAAAACTATTCTAAAATTTCATCTCCCTCCAGTCAGAATGACAATTATCAAGAATACAAACAATAAATGTTGGTTAGAATGTGGAGGGAAAAAGAAACACTCATTCATTGCTGGTGGGACTGCAAATTGGTGCAATCACTATGGAAAACAGCATGAAAATATCTCAGAAAACTCGGAATGGAAAACCACCATTTGACAGTTATCCCATTCCTCAGTGTATACCCAAAGGACTAAAATCAGCAAACTACAGTGATGCAGCCACATCAAAGTTTGTAGAAGCTCAATTCACAATAGCTAAACTATGGAACCAACCTAGATGCCCTTCAACAGGTAAATGGATAAAGAAAATGTGGTATACACAATAAGAACTTTACTCAGCCTTAAAGAAGAATGAAATTATGGCTTTTGCAGGTAAGTGGATGGATTGGAGAATATCATGCTAAATGAAATAAGCCAAAACCCAAAAAACCAAAGGCTGAATATTTTCTCTGATAAGCGGATACTGATTCATATTGGGGGGAGGGTAGGAGGACTCTGGATTATGCCAACGGGAATAAGTGGAGGGGTACCAGGATGGGAAGGACAGTGGAATGAGATGGACACTATTACCCTATATACATGTATAATTATATTACTGGTGTAACTGCACCATATTCAGCCAGAGGAAGAAGAAGTTGTGCTCCATTTGTGTACAATGTGTCTAAATGCATTCTACTGGCATGTATAATCAGAACAAATTTAAAAAATAATTTTTTAAAAAAATTGGGAAGAACATTTGCCAATATGATTTTATGCACAAATAAATTATCAAAGTAAGTAGACAGTACATTTTCATCTACAAAAGTACATACTGTGTGGGCTAGCTTTCTTTTAATCCTTTACTCGGTTTCAGACACTGCACTAAAAGTTTTACAGGCACTATTTAATCAGAACAGCCTCTGATAATACTTACTATGATTATGTTCATCTTAAAAATAAAAGGCAGGTTCCAAACTTGTCCATGGTCAATTTGGAACTGGACAATTAAGGAAGCATGCTCAGCTCTAACTCCAAATACTGTTTTTTTTAGTTGATCTATACTGCACAAAAGACACAGAAGAGAATGCCAACATGTTAACAGTAGTTCTCTCTCAAAAGGACCTGGTTCTTTACTTCCAAATGTTCATCAAATCTTCACATACTCATATATTTTTAAAGAGAAAGATTTTAAAAACCTACAGAATTACTTTTGAAGTTTACAGATTCTGAAAAAAAAGTTGGGCAGCTTACATTTCCTCCTCATCATCTTCTTCATCTACCCACACCGGCTGCTTCTGAGGGGGGAAAGAATCTTTTGCTTCATTCTCCACTTCAGAGTCATCAGAGTCTTCATGCAAGTGAACCTACAGAAGACAAAACGCCTTCAAGCACTGGGTTTTTCTCATCCCACAGTCACCCATGCCTTAAGTGATTTGAACAATGCTTTGTTTTTATGACCCTCTGATTAAACAATTGGAAAGAATGCTACCAAAACAAATGCAGGGGGCAGAAGCAGAAAATAAGACCAGGGAATGACACCTCCAGCTAGATAAGCAAAGCAAGCTGGAACAGTTAAGGAAAGCAAGTGAACATGCTGACCAAAGACTAAAGCAGGCAAGAACAAAGGGTAAGTTAATAGAGGAAGAAAAGGGCAGGAGAAATGCCCAAAATACAGAAATTACAAGTCCCAAGGCAGATTAGAGTTAAAGATAATAAATACCATTTAAGTCTTATCTCATATTCTTAGGCACATTGCTTGTTTCCTCTTACCCATTCTTAATCCCACCTCTTTAAAAAAAGTTATACCAAACCATCAAATCTAAATCTAGACCACAAAAATCCCCTTTAAATTGTTAGTTTGAGCTTTCCTCAACCCATATGACAGCAATATCCCATTGACTTCTACCTGCATTACTACAGTTCAATATGCTTCAAAGCCCAACAAACCCCACCTCTAGTAGGCTGTTTCTCCTGACTGTAAAACCTTCACCAGAATTAGCACACTTCCAAGACAGTTCTCTATTAACTAGTTCTCTAGACTGCAGCAACTTCTCTCCTAAGCACCCAAAGGAGGTGGCAATCAGCAGATACTTGCTAAGTCAACAGTAATCCTTATCCTTTCTTATCTAAATGTTCAGTCCTTCATACACGTATTTTTCCTTTTCGAAGATTTTTTTTTTCTCTTCAACACTTATCATCAAACACTTGAATTTTACTGATTTATCACTTCCTTATCTTCTATGCCACAAGCGCCAAGAGGGCAGGGATTTTTGTCCGTTTTGTCTATGCCTGGGAATCTCTTGGACTACAGAATTTTTTAAAAAGTAGAAGGCAAATATTACAATCAGCCACAGAGCGTTTGCCATCACCTGGAAGAGTATCAAAGACCTACAAATATCTGTTAAATGAATACGTGATCATTTTTAAAAGTTGATGCACGACATGATCGCGCCGAAAGACTTGTTAAAAAGCTTATTCCCAGGCTTGTGCTCTCCAACCGATTCCATTATGGAATTGGAACTCCTTGAATCACTGGCAAGGAACCGGGGCAAGTGATGAGACCACCACCGCCAGCCAGACAGCAGAGCTCAGCAGCCCCAAATGGTCACGACTACAGTTCGCAAAACAAAAACGTGTTGAGTGCCTGCTGCATACAAGGCGCAGTGGCTCCTCCCGGACAGAATAAGGCGTGGTCTGTGCCCGCCCAAGCTTGCAGTCCAGCGCGGGAAGGCCGGGTACGCAAAGCGGCGCCCCTCGGCGCCAGCCTTCAGGGCTCCCTCCCTCCCTCCCACCTGAGTGCTCGCCGCCGCAGGTCGCCCAGGCTCCGCCTTCAGAACCGCGCGCCCCGCCTGAGCGTGCTCGGCCCGCGCCCGGGCCTCCCTCACCCGCGGGCCCCGCAGCCGCCGCAGCAGCGAGTCCTCGTCGTCCTCGACATCACCAAAAACCAGCTCTTCCAGGCACCGCTCTACGGCCGGTTTGTCCTCCTCCAGTGTCAGGCGATTCTGCTGCCGGAGGCGTCTCTCCTCCGCCGCCGCGGCGACAGTGATCGAAACGGTTGCAGCGGTCGGCTGGGCCGGCGGTGTCCGCCGAGATGAAGGGGCAGCCTTTTGGGGTGGCCCGCCCGTCCCTGCCCGGGCTTTCTGGTCTGACCTCATTTTGGTCTTACTGTCCCGCCTTGCGCGGGCTCTCCGTTCGGGTCTCATCCGGCTCCTGCGTTCGGGCGGCATTGTTGGGTTTGAGAAGAAACGCTACCGCTCACGTGGAGCTGTTCTGCGCACGCGCTCCGTCGCCTCGCAAGCTGCCACCGAGGAGTTCCCGGGGGACCGGAAGGAGCTTGCGCAGCCTCTGGCCACGTGACCAATACCACTACGTCACTCCCACTCCCCTCGCCAGCCCCTCCCCGTGTGGGAGTTCCTCCGGGAGGGCCAATCTTCCGGGTGTAGGGGGACGCGGCGTGATTGGAGTGGAAATTTTTTCCAACACAACAAATGCAACCTATTGAAAAGACAGCTTGAGTACAAACGGGGGTGACTAAGTGAAACTTCTGATCTCCCTTCAGATCTTTTAACCACTGGACTTTACCCAAACCTCAATTACCTTTACTTCCCTTCGTTTTGGTACGGTCCTTAGAGTACGGAGCCTGCAGAGGGTCCCACGCTGGAGGAGAGAGAGGAGGGTATGTAGGGAAGTGGGCCAATCGGGGCGCGGGTCACGGCGCAGGCGCGCTGGGGAGGGAGGGCTATGCTAATGTTGTTGATATCCTGGGGCCACCCGAGTTAAAGGGGGGAAATCCGGGGGCTGCCGCAGCCACCTCTAGTCTGGGCCCAGCTGGGGGCTCCCTTTAGTCGCCGCAGTCCCGGGGAGAGGCGCCTGCCCCCAGCTCGGGGAGGGGGCGCCGCGGGCTCGGGGAGCACGGACAACCCCTACCCATGAGGCCCTGATGGAAAACACAAAGGATCTGGTGAGAGCCGAGCGCGGCAGCCGCTTTGTGTACCAGGTGGGGGGAACGCCTGCAGCTCCCCGACCCCAGGAACCCCGCAGCTCCCTGACCCCGCTCCTAGGCCTGTTTCTTCATCCCACGCCCCCTCCCCCTACCGACCGTTAAACGATTCAGGGGTTCCCCTCCCCCACCCCCTCAGTCCCAGATTCGTTCGGGTTCTTTCCTCCACTCTCTGGGGGAAACAAATCGAGAAGAAAGTTTTTTTTTATGCCCCCCACCCCCACCTACTCTGACTAGGGAGAAAGGCTGAATCCGACACTTACTTTTTTAGGCGCCCAGGGTGGGAGAGTGGAATAGAACCCTCACTTTTTTTGGGAGGTGGGTGTGGGGAAATATAGTTTTGGTGCTTTGCAAAAAAAAAAGGTACCTATTCGTTTGGGGACCGGTGCCGCGAGGCATTTTGCACGTGGAGGTGGAAATATTGAAAGGGGGCGGGGTGGGCACGTGTGGGAAGGAGAGGTGGGAGGGGTGTTTGGGAAGCCGCCACCAAGGCCGCTTATTTAAAAGGGTTCCAGATCGGTGGGCTTCTAAGGCTACTGCGTTCTCTTTTGTGAAATAAAAATCCTAACATTTCAGAGTCGGAAGAGACATTAGAGGTCACCCAAAGCAGCCGTCCCCTCTGCAGCCTCTGAAAAGTGGTAGGTAGTTTGGCCTCTACTAAACCCCTACAAACACTGAGTGCTCACTACTGCCCAGGAAAGCCCCTTTTTAAGTAATTCTCATCCTTTGCCCACCCTTATTAGACCCTTCAGTCTCATTCATGTCCTGGTTAAGTTGCTCCTTTTTTTACTTCTCAAATTTTCTCTCACATCCTCCTCACCCACCCACTGCTCATTGGCCTATATTTTGTGTGCCAGGAAAGAACAGCAGGGAAGTGGAGTGAGGGGGGAGGATTTGAGAAAGTGAAGGCCAGCTGAAAACTTTGCTGGGTCAATTTCAAGTGTACTGACTAACATATCTAAAGATGGTTGATACTCTTCTGACAGGAAACTAGAGAATTGAAATCAGGATTTCATGGCCATTTTCTCTCACTAGTGCAACTTTTTAAAGTGAGAAATTTCATCATCTCTGTAGTTCTATCACAAAACACATTTGCTTGTTGCCTCACTTTCCCTAAGGATGCCTAAAATTGCATCCTGGGGAAAATACTAAAGCCCTTAGAAACTTCAGCCTGGTAGGGAACTGATCAGAACTACTCTCCATCAAAAGTTCTGTCTTTTATGAGATTTGAAATTTATGCAGCACTTTAATATTTGCTTGGAGTTTGCAATATTTTTAATGCTCCCTACATTAAAAAACACCAGTATTTGTCACTGGTAGTTCGGTTTCAAATATGTATTGTTGCTCAGTCTTTTAATGTTCTTCATTTAGTGAGCTCTGTTGCCTCCAGTAGTTTTCTTGGCAAAAGAATCTTGGGGCACGTGTTTTTTTCTTCCTAATATGGTGAAGTGGGAGTCCAAACATAATGTAGAAGTAATGCATCTGGTCTAAAAGACAGCCAATAAATTTTTTTCCTAAACTTCCAGGCCCCTGTTTAGAATGTTGGAGCACATTTTTTTCTTTCCTCTCTTATGACTTAGAGACTTGCTTTGCTCTAGTGTGCTTAGGCTGGTTTTTGTTTACCTCAATACCAAAGACTGTTTAGAAAGAAAATAGATTTTTTTTGCACCACCTCCTCTGAATAACAAGTAGCTTCTATATTTATGTAGAACCCATACTCAAGGCTTGTGAATAACTTGTAAATTATAGCAAAATCTGTCTTGAGCAAGTTTCTGTTCATATGTGAAGCCATGTTTTTCAACCATACAATTTTTAACTTTGTGAACTTGGACATGTAATATTTTCTTAAAAATCTAGTCACTAAAATTTAACATGGAATTGAATACTAGATCATGAAAATATTAATAGAGCAGTATAATTGTGTCTTTAAAGTTGTAATCAATATGGAGTTCCAAGTTGTTTTCCTGCTTACTTTAAATGTGAGCTGTCATGACATAAGTTGACTAACTTTGAAACCATTTGCCCTCTAAACATACTAGACAGGAACAACTGGTTTCACTTTTAAAGAAGACACTGCTGTATTTTTTATGATTAGTTATATGTTGACATTATTATCGAAGCCTTTCTGGATAGTCAGGTGCTGCTTGTAGTATTAATTTTGGAAATTAAAATGAAATAACTTATTTTAAAGTATGTGAAAGCATATAATATTGGTCAAATGAACGTAAAATCATAGTTCATGAGTGAAATTGACATTAACCTCATAAATCTTAAACTATGGGGCTGGGGATATAGCTCAGTGCTTGCCTCACATGCACAAGGCCCTGGGTTCAATCCCTAGCACCACAAAAAATAAATAAACCTACCTTAAATAACCTACTAAAAGCCAGAAATGCTCAGTGATCTCAATGACTACCTTCTAAACTTAAAAGAATCACTATTCTTTGGTGTCTCCTTGTTTCTCACTTTTTCATTTTTAAAATCTTTACTAGATAAGATTTAACCTTTAACACTTAGAGTTCAGAGTAAAACAGTTAATATGTCTCATTAGTCTTGGGTTTTCAATTCCAAGAGAGATAAAACAGAACAATAGGGGAAAAAAGTTCCTAAGTAGTTACAATAAGCTTAACTGTGTCTTCCAACAATAGTAATGTATTAACTATCCCAGACAACTTTTTTTTTTTAAAGAGAGATAATTTTTTAATTTTTTTTTTAAGTTTTCGGTGGACACAACATCTTTTACTTTATTTTTATGTGGTGCTGAGGATCAAACCCAGCGCCCCACGCATGCCAGGCGAGCGCCCTACCGCTTGAGCCACATCCCCAGCCCCAACTTTTGATTTTATGTGAAAATAACAGGTTACTTTAGTTCTTTGGTTGGAGGAGGGTACTGGATTGAACCCAGGGGTGCTTAACTACTAATCTACACCCCCAACCCCTTTGTATTTTTTATTTTGAGACAGGGTCTCACTAAGTTGCTTAAGGCCTCACTAAATTGTAGAGGCTGATATCGAACTTGCAATCCTCCTGCCCCAGCCTCCCAAGTTGCTGAGATTACAGGTGGGTAGTGCCATGCAGTTAAGAGTTTGTTGTTTTTTTTTTTTTTTTAATCAGCATTTTTAAGGATTTAGTTCCCATAAACTCATTATTTATTTTTTTGCTTTGCTTCAGTCAAGAAAAGGTGCCTGAAGGGGTTGTGGCTCAGCAGTGGAGTACTCGCCTGGCGTGCACGGGGTGCTGGGTTCGATCTTCAGCACCACATAAATGTAAAATAAAGATATTGTGTCCATCTAAAACTTTAAAAATAATTATTAAAAAAAGAAAAGGTGCATGAATAATATTCCATTTGAACAAACTCTATAAATGTGAGGTAGGATGAAGTGGTGGAGTGAGGGGCCCCTGGAAAAGTAGGTTAGAGTTGTGATTCTGCCACTGTCTAGTTGCATGATAGTGGTTGAAGGTCCTGTGTCTCAGTTTTCTCATCCCAGTTGAAAAGTTGATGTATAATCAGTTAGCATTGTCCAGTAGAAATTGGTGCAGTGGTGGAAACGTCCTATATTCGTGCTGTCCACATATGACTATTGAGCACTTAAAATGTAGCTAGTAAGCCAAAGAACTCAATTTTTTATTGTATTAATCTGTCAATTTCAATAGCGACATGTCTGCCAAATTGAACATGCAGGTATAGAACAGTGTTTTTCAAATATAGCTAGACTTCCCTCTTGGAAGCTTTTGTTAAAAATACATACTCCTCCCCTGGATATAGTAAGGTCTACAGTAGTAAGGTCTGCAGTAACATGTGAGAATTTGTTTTAAATGTATGCTCTAGAGAGTTTTATTTTTGTTTTGTTTTTCATCAGATTAGTTAAAGAAACACTGCATAAGAGATTTCTGAGCACCCTTCTAGTTCTTACTGTGGTGTTGATAACCTAGCATTTACTATAATATAAATGACCTCTGAACAAAGTGTGCAAACTGGGCTCTAGCTCTGGCTCTGCCACCTTCTGACCTGTGATCTCAGACAAGTTTCCTAATCTCTTTGAGCTTCCTATTCCTCATCTGAAATGTGGGGTGAGAATCAGCTTTGCTTCCCTTCTGAAGTTTTCTGTAAACTAGAATCCCCTCTTCTCCCTTTTGACTGGATTATCTAATTCATGCTCTATTATAAAATTGGTTGTATATAAAGCTCATTCATTTATTAAATCAATTGCAGCCACAGTTTGCAGTCTTAGTTGTAAAGTGGGCATAATGAGTCTTAATTTTTTTTGGATTTCTGATGCTTAGCATAACGATGCATGTAGCTCCATAAATATTGACTAATATCATCTGTTTATTTACTTTTAGGCTTCAAAACTGTAATTGATTAGTTATAGATTATTTTATATACCAGAGAAATATCCCCTTACTTTACATATATGTATGTAACTCAATTTTTTTTTTAATTTTTTAGTTGTAGTTGGACACAATACCTTTATTTTGTTCATTCACTTTTTTTTTTTTCTTTTAATATGGTGCTTAGGATCAAACCCAGGGAGGCGAGTGCTCTACTGCTGAGCCACAACCCCAGCCCTGTAACTCAGTAATGTTCTATTGGTTAATGTTCAGTGATTTTGTATTTTAGTACTGGGGATAGATTGAACCCAGGGGCTATCTACCACTGAACTACCTCCCCAGTTCTTGTTATTTTGAGATAGTATCTCACTAAAATAGTTGAATCTGGCCTCAACTTGTGCTTCTCCTGCTACTAAAAGCCGGAGTAGCTGGGGTTAAAGACATGCGCCACCATGCCCAGCAGTGATTACATAGCTTTTGAGCAACCAGCTTCAAATATATTTTTAAAAGATGATCATGCTAGGGATGTTGCATGGTGGTAGAGCATTTGCCTAGCCTGCACAAGAAACTGGGTTTGGTACCCAGAGCTTTCAAAAAAAAAAAAAACACCAAGAGAACTATTAGATTTTTTTTTATTAGCCCTGATAATAATGATCTTAAAGACCCTCTAGGCCACCATGTGTTTCATACTTAATTTTGACAAGGTCATCTTATTTTTAATTAGCTTTTCAGGTTCATACTTAAGGATTCATAACTTTCTTCTGAAGAACTGAAAGTGTCCATGTGAACTATTTTATTTTATCATACATCTTCCTGTGTGGTAAGTGGTATTTTCCTTATTTAGAAGAGAAACTGAGACCCAAGTAATTGTTGCATCCAAAGTCATGATAATGATAAAACCAGAAGTTGGACCCCAAAACAGAAATTTGGATTTATCACTGGCCAAACTGTGCTTTTCATCCAGGTGTGGAATAAGGAAGAGGCCAGCGAGAGCTTAAAAAGCACCCTCACTTCTAAGTCCAGTCATCATAGAATATCTGTTGTGAAGTTTGTGAGCTCATGCATACAATGTTCACATTTAAAGTTTGAGAAAATATACTTGTCAGATGCCATCTCGCTAAATCCTGCCTGGAACATGAATCATCCTTTTGTCCAGTTATCCACAATTTTATCCACCCTTTATTTACTAGCCATCTCACTTATCAGACTATTAAGGTATTAGAGGGCTTGTGTTAAAATACCTTATGTAGGAGCCTGAAGCCATATTGATCATCTCATCATATAGGCCTTATATCATTACAAGAAGGGTGAGTATAGACTAAGTAGATATTTTGTCAGATTCCATTCATATAACTTCTATTACAGTATATTTCAATTGTTCTCTTATTATTGTTAATCTTACTGTGCCCAATTTATAAATTATTATAGATATTAATAGAAGCTGGTAGAATTCTGGGAGGAGGAGAAGAATTAACTGGAAAAGTACATGAGGGAGATTTCTAGAATGACAGAGAAGTGCTACATCTTGATATGCATTAAAAAATATGCCTCACGTTTTTTTGGGGGGGGGGTAAATTACCAGAGATTGAACTCAGGGGCACTCAACCACTGAGCCACATCCCCAGCCCTATTTTGTATTTTATTTAGAGACAGGGATTCATTGAGTTGCTTAGCACCTCACTTTTGCTGGTGTTGACTTTGAACTTGCGATCCTCCTGTCTTAGCCTCCCAAACTGCTGGGATTATAGACTTGTGCCACCATGCCCAGCATGCCTCAGTTTTGAAAAACTTAACTGTTAAGTAAAAGAGAAATGCAAACAAACTGCAGTTTCTGATAAACAATGTCTAAAATACTACGCAACATAATCTGTTCATTATATTTATTGTATAGTGAGAAGAAAATTCATAGCCCTATATTAATGAATATGCTTGTCTCAGAAGCAAAAAGAACCAAAAAAAGCCAAAAGAAAACACACACCCACCCACACACCAAAAAAAAGTGAAAAAGAAAAGTAGAAATTAATGAGTTAGGAGCTGGGGTTAAAGCTCAGTGATAGAGTACCTGTCTAGCACATGTGAGGCACTAGATTTAATCCTCAGCACCACATAAAATATAAATGAATAAACAAAGGTATTGTATCCATCTGCAAATAAAAGAAATTAATGAGTTTACCAAAAAAAAAAAAAAAAACACTATACATCCAATTAATGAATCAATCCTGGGCCTTTAGGGGAAAATTTGCAAGACAGATAAACCATTAACTAATTTAAGATGAGAAAAAGAACAATAGATAGACCAAGGGGAATTCTGCCTGGGAGATCACATGTTCCCAGTGCTACATGACTACAGAAAATGGAAGAGGAAATTGTGATTATTTTTAGAAATAATACTGATTTCTAAACCTTTGATGGAGGTAATGCAAAGAAATGAAAACTACAGATAATAGTTAAGAATATCACTGCAAAATTCTAACTATTACGCAGTCTCTCGCACCACATTAACTCATTGTGTCCCAGATGTGGAACACCTTTAAAAACTTAAATTGAGCAACAAATATACCACTAAGGGTAACTAAAATAATATGTGAATATTATGTTCACAGAATTGAAAACTTAATGAATTGTGTAAAAACATCTTGGTGAAGCTTATACTAGAAATACAAAGATAATTTAGTGTTTGTGAACCTACATAATTTACTATATTAATAGTTCTGAACAGAAAGATTATAGATCTTGAAAAGGCCTGAGGCAAAATTTTAACACCTAACCAAAAGTTTTGAGAAAACAGGAGTGGATAAATACTTCTTTATTTAACATGACTTTATTTTCACAAATAAGCACCTCAGTCCTAAAGCCAGCATTTTAATAAGAAACACAGTAACAAAGTAAGAGTGACCCTTTTCTACACTATTTAGACTAGAACTCTGAGCCCATACATGCAGGATGGAGAAAACAAGTCAGGCATAATACTGGAAAAAGAAAAAATAAAGTTTCTTTGTTGGTGACATGATCGTTTTTCTGAAAAGCCATAGTAAATCAATGGCCAAACTATCTCAAGACAATTTGAGAATCTTAAATAATAAATGTCCATGTAGTGCAGAAATAGCCAGTTAAGACAATACAACAACCAGGCATGTGGTGCACACCTATAATCCAAGCTGATCAGTAATTTGAGGCCGGAGGATCTCAAGCTCAAGGCCAGCCTTGGCAACTTAGTGAGACCCTGTCTCAAAAAAATAAAATGACAAAAAACTAGCTCAGTGGTAGAGTGACCCTGGGTTCAATCCCCAAAACTGCAAAAAAGGAGGGAAAATAGGAAAGGTGGTACCACAAAAAGAAAATTACATTTATAATAGGAACAACAAAATATTTAAAATTCTTAAGGATATGCTTTAACGAGAATTGTTTTAAAAGCTAAGTGAAGCTTGGGGTCTGGGGTTGTAGAGCACTTGCTTAGCATGTGTGAGGCACTAAGTTCGATCCTCAGCACCACATAAAAAATAAAGTTACTATGTCCATCTACAACTAAAAAAAAGAAAAAAATTTTTTAAATAAAACGCTATGTGAACCAAACTATAAAGCATTCCTAAAAGACACAAGTTAAGCCAGGCACAGTGACACAAGCCTATAATCCTAACAGCTCAAGAGGCTGAAACAGGAGGACCACAAGTTCCAGACCAACCTCAGCAACTCAGTATGGCCCTATCTCAGATTTTAAAAAATGGGGGGCTGGGGTTGTTGTCTCAGTGGTTAAGCAACCCTGGGTTCAATCCCCAGTACCAAAAAGAAAACACAAGGTAAATTTGAACAAATGGAAAAGCATCCATTGTTCTTCTGTAAGACATCTCAATATCAGCCAGTTGTCACATCTTTCTAAGTTAATTGATAAATTTAATGAAATCCCAATATAAATTTTTTGGTGTAGAGTTGAACTAGTTAATACAAGAAGTTCATCTGGAAAAAGAAACATGCAAGAATATGGAAACATTTAAAGAGCTCTTTGAAGTGGATCTAGCTCCAGCAGGTATAAAAATATCCTGGAAAGCCTGTAATTATAAAAGCTAGGAAATGGCACATGACTAGACAAACAAACAAACAAAAAAGCCCTGCACCACCTAATCTTTTAGTCAACAAGGAACCACATGTACAATAGTGGTACCATAAGATTATAACGGTGCTGAAATTTTCCTGTTGCTTCTGACATTATAGTAGCCACTATAATGTGGTAGCACAATGTACTACGTGTTTGTGTTGATGCTGGTGTAAACAAACCTACTGTATTCTAATGCTTTAAAAGTATATCACACACAGTTATGTACACTACATAATGCTTAATAATAAATGCCTGTGACTGGTTTATGTGTTTACTATGCTTTTTATCATTATTTCAAAGTGTACATGTTATTTTTTAAGTTTGCTGTTAAACAGTATTCCATGTTATATCAACAGTAACCTCATAAATCTCATGTTCACTGCATCTTTCCATCATGCCATTTTCTCTTCTACTTGATTTAGTCACATGTTGTTTTGCTCATCGTGGTCCCTAAGCATACAAAATCCATTGCTCATATTGCCACTGTGAGGCCACATGGAGGGACTGACTTGAAATGAAATAAGTGATTAAGCACTACAAAGGTGGAAAATCAGTGATGGTTATTGCTCGCCAGTCAGGCATGTCCCATTCCTCCATAGCCATGAGCTTGAAGAACAAGAACAAAGAAGGATCTGCTTCATTGAAGGCAATAAGACTACAATTCAAGAAGGGTCTATGTCTGATGTATAGGTACTTGTAATGACCTGAATTGAAGACCAAACACAGAAGCATATTCCTCTCAGTACCGTGATGGTCATGGCCAAGGCAAAAAGTTGGTGATGATGAAAGAAAAGGCTGGACCTGACCACAGTGTTGAATTTACTGCTAGCTTTGAGTGGCTGAAATGATTCAGAAATCATTAGTTCATTGCATTATGTGAAAGTGAATGGTGAGTCCTGATGTGAAAACAGCTGAAGAACTTGTGGAAACTAGGCTGATTGGGGGAAATAATTATTTGTCAGAGCACTCTAACAGCATAGGCTATATAATATAGCCTAATATGTAGTAGGCCATAGTTTCTGGGTTTGTGTAAGTGCATTTTATGTTTAACCAACAGTAGAATCATTCAATGTTACATTTCTTGAAACATTTTCCTGAAATTAATTGACATGTGGCTATAGTATAAGATCCAGAAGCGGACAAAACTACATAGGGATACCTAATACTTAAAGTGGTATTTCAAACCAGAGGTAAAGGTGGACATTCTAATAAAAGATATTTTAGCAACTACCTAGCTATTTGGTGTGGGGGGATGGATATTAGGCCCATTTTTCACACCATACACAAGAATAAACTCCAAATGGATCAGAATCTAAATATAAAACTGTATAAATGCCAGGAGGAAATGTGGGTGAATTTTTCTATATCATGATTTAAGAAATTCTTTTCTAATTGATTCATAATTAAGATACAATGAAAGACTGTACTGGTTGCCCTAGGGATTTAGCTCAATGGTAGAGTGCATGCTTCAAATGCATAGGCCCTGCGTTTGATTCTTAGCATCAAAAAAGAAAAAAATACTGGTAAATTTTAATACATTAAAAAAATAATTTTATGCCAAAAAAATTTCATGTGCAGAATCATAATTTGCCATAAATACAGAGAAGAGTGAATTTCTGAGTACAAACAACCGAAATAAATCATGACTAAAAACCTTAAGGAAAAAGCACAAAAAGATCAGAACAGACAAATCCCCACATGCGCAAAAGAAGATACAAAAAAAGACG